GTTGTTGCGGCCGCCCGTGGGGGCTGCAGGGGGTCTGGCTGCTGCGCCGGGGCCGCGGGGCGGAGGGGATCCCCCACCGTGGACCACGGACCCCAGGGACGGGGAGAGCTGTGTGCCATGGATCCCGGGACAGGGAGAGCTGTGTGCCACGGATCCCGGGACGGGGAGAGCTGTGTGCCACGGATCCCGGGACGGGGAGAGCTGTGTGCCATGGATCCCGGGACAGGGAGAGCTGTGTGCCATGGATCCCGGGACAGGGAGAGCTGTGTGCCACGGATCCCGGCACAGGGAGGGCTGTGGGCAACGGATCCTGGGAGATCCTGGGACAGGGAGAGCTGTGTGCCACGGATCCCGGGACAGGGAGAGCTGTGTGCCACGGATCCCGGGACGGGGAGAGCTGTGTGCCACGGATTCCCTGGGGACAGGGAGAGCTGTGTGCCATGGATTCCCGGGGACAAGGGGGAGGCTCTGCCAGGTCCCTCCAGCCCGGGTGGGGAAGGCCAGGGCTGCCTGGTCGTGGGCTGGGGAATTCCCGTGCCCAGCACGCGAAGCCCTCCTCACCCAGCAGCGCCGGCTCCCCAGGGCTGCCCCACGCCGCGGGGAACGGGCCGTGGCACCCCGGCACAGGGTAGGTCAGGGATTCGGGGCTTCCCTGTCCTTGCCCAGCACCTCCCAGCTCCTTAGCAGGGCTTTCCCCACTGGAGGACCCTCCTTTTCCCACCCCTCAGTGGTTGGCCCTGCGGGCAGCACCGTCCCTTGCCTCGGGGTGGCACAGGCCACTGGTTCACCCAGGATGCCGCCGGTGGATGCCATTCCCTCCCGGGATGCGCTGGTGGATGCCATTCCCCCCCGGGACGTGCCGGTGGATGCTCGTTCCCAGCACGACCTGCCTGGCACAGCCCCTGGCTGCCGGCGGTGCGGCTGGGCAGGGTTCCCCCCGCGAGCACTGGAGGGGGGTCCCTCCCTGGGGGCAGTCGCACCCACGAGGGGGCAGAGGAGCAGGGCCAAACCCCGCTCTGCCCAGAGACGTTCCCACCCGCATTTCCCCCAGGTCTGGGGCGTGCTCCGAGGGGAGCTCCAGGAGTCACCCCCCGGCTCCTCTCCCCAGGGCATCCCTGGGCCGGAGCCCGGTCCTGCACCAGCAGCACGAGACCCCGCAGGAGCCAGCGTGGTTCGGGGCCCGGGGCCCAGGGAGCTGGGGAGCCCGTGGGGCACGGAGGCACGGGCTTTGGCTGGAGAGTGACCTCGAGGGCCGTGCCACCCCGGCGCAGCGGCCAGTGCACGCCAGGCGCGATGGCAGAGCCTCCCCTGCCATGGCGAACCGCTGCGACCCCAGCGTCTGCCCGCAGCTCCCCGCTTCTCGTGGGGGACGGCAGCGGAGCCGCCGCCATCCGCAGCCAGGACGCGCCGAGCCCGGGGCAGGCCCTGACAAGATGGGGGTGGGAGCGTGGCGGAGGGCAGGAGGGGACGGCCAGCGACGGCAGAGCGGTGCGTGGGCGCACGGACCCCTGCCCCGAGCTGCGGCATGGGGGGTCCGGCTGGAGCCCCTGGGCCCTGGCCAGTCCCCTTCATCCCCCCAGGTGGGCAGGAGCTGCCGGCCAGCCCGGGGCTCACCGCACGCACCCGGGGCCGGCTGCTCACTCCTGCTGGTGCCCAGCGCCGATGCTCCCTGAAATGGGGCTGATGGTCCCCACGCCCGGTGCTCCCCACAGCCGGGGCTGATGCTCCCGGTGATTCCCGGGGCCTGGGGCTGCCGGTGCCCGGGACTGATGCTTCCCGTGCCCAAGGCTCCCCCTGACCGGTGCAGATGCTCCCCATACCCAGTGCTCCCCATAGCCGGGGCTGATACTCCCGGTACCCGGGGCTAATGCTCCCGGTGCCCGGTGCTCCCCATGACTGGTGCCGATGCTCCTGGTGCCTCAGGCTCCCCATGACCGGTGCCAATGCTCCCGGTGCCTGGAGCTCCCCATAGCCGGGACTGATGCTCCCGGTGCCTGGTGCTGGTGCTCCCCATGATTCCCAGTGCTCAGGGCTGCTGGTGCCCAGGGCCGATGCCCCCGGTGCCCGGTGCTCCCCACAGCCGGGACTGATGCTCCCGGTGCCCGGTGCTCCCCATGACCAGTGCCTATGCTCCTGGTGTATGGGGCTCCCAGTGCCCGGGGCTGATGCTCCCTGCAGTTCCCAGTAACCAGGGCTGATGCTCCCCGCCATTCCCGGCGCCCGGGGCCAATGCATCAGCTGATGCTCCCCACGATCCTCGGTGCCCGGGGCTGCCGGTACCCGGGGCTGATGCTCCCTGCCCTCCCCGGTGCCCGGGGCTTAAACC